AAAAGAAACCCTCTCTGCCGCAACCCCACTCACCATCAGATGATCGGAGAGAGAGAGATGGCGTGGAGCATGACATTGTTCGGAACGATGCTGGGGCTGGGCACGCAAATGTACTTCAATGCCCTCTACAAACTCCCTTACATGCGCCGCATGTCAACTCCAATTGCTCCTTCCCCCTCCTTCGAACCCTAATTTTTCATGATTTCAATCCTCAATCCCCTTGCGTTCTTGTTCATTTCGCTCCTATAAGCATTGGATTGAAGCTTTTTGGTACTGGCATGTGTTTGTTTCGAAAATCAGATCCGTGGGAACATGTTATTGGGATGGGTCTTGGAGCGGTGTTCGTGAACCAACTGGTGAAATGGGACTCTCAGCTCCAAGAAGATCTCGACAAGATGCTTGAAAAGGCCAAGGCCGTTGGCAAATTGCTATGAAGGAAAGAAGAAGAAGAACGAAGGGAGAGAGACAAAGAAGTAGCGGCGGCCCCCTCCCAAAAAAAAAAACCTCTGAAAACCGAAAAACCTAGACCTAATAGAACCAAATCATCATTTCGGTGTGGGTTTTGTATGGTTCACACCTTGGTTTGGGTCACAAAATATATATACTTTCATGTTCGAGTCGATTTGAGTATTAGAGAAATCCAAACCGAACTGACCGTTGACACCCCTAGTTGCTGCTGTTGGACCACCTAATTTTGGTCTGGAACCTATGTATCTTGTAACTGATCACCCTTAATAAGTGTTAAGCTTATTTGGGAGGAAAATCCATTGGTGAAAAGCCATTTCCCTTATCAAATGGTGAAAGAGTATTTCCAACTCAATTTCGAGCGAACTCCTGAAAATATTACTATTTTTCAAAACGACTTCTTTGAAAATGTTCTTAGAAGTATCAAATGGTGAAGATTAGGTCTGGGGGTGGCTCTAGTCCGATTGGTGTTGTCTCCGATCCATCCAATGCTGGGCCATCTTGAAGCAAGAGAAGCCGCTTCCCATCACATTTGAACCTCGCCTTGCTCTTTCAGTGGGAGAGGATGAGTTGATGGAGGTGGTAAGTGGAGCCCATGGTGTGGACGGCGATGTCGGAGAAGGAGCCAAAGTTGAAGCACTCGATTTGGACGTGACCGCACAAGGAGGAGAGGTTGCAATCGAGGGCACGAAGCTCATCGCTGGCAGTGGATTGGCCACCATCTTTTCGTGGTTTGGTAATGCAGAGCATGGGTCGACCACGGCACCGCCGCCCTTGGCACCGAAAGCGAAGACCTTGGTCTCGGGGTCCTCGATGGGGAGGTTGAGGTTGATCTTGTGGACAGTAGGGGCAAATGTGGGCACGATGGAAAGGGTGGCGTTAGGGTTTTGCGGTGGCAAATATGGTCGTGATAAGTGAGTGGAGACAGAGAGAGAGGGTTAATTGTGAGAGATGACAAAGAGAGACAAAGAGGGACCTTTTTTGCTGGGCTAAATGGGTCAAATTATAAGCAAACACATCGTGACTTGCTTTTTTAGGCTTTCATTTTTATCTTTACCCACTTAGTCCTAGTTGATAAAAAACGAATTACCCATATATAATTGAGCCTCCTAAAACTAAGATACAAAATTGGTTTATTTATGGCAGGTCTACTACATTGATATCCATGATATGCACTTGAGAGCAACCCCTCAATAATAGGCCACATCCTTTTGCAAAAAAAAATAAAAATAGGGATATGTTCACTAGAAGTCCTAAAACTTGTTAAATTGATTCAATTGAATCATAAAGTTAACACCGTCTAATTTACTAACGAAAAACGCTGATGTGGCTTATTTTAATATTTTCTCTCTCCTTCGCGACAATGATGTGACTAAATTATGAAATATAAGACTAAAACGACTTCGCTTTGGCCTAAATTTAATTTTTAATACTAATTTTATTTAAATGAAATTTAAAAATTAAGCTTAAAAAAAAGGAGGAGAAGTTACGTGGGGAGAGCTACAAGCCCTCGCCACCACCGTCGCCCCACAATCACCAGGAGGGGTCGACGAGGTTGGGGGACGGTTTGGCGGCAGTTGACGGGCCCCTTCGCCCTCACCAGGGGCTCGCGACCTTCGCCGACAGTAGGCGAGGGCTTGTAGGCCCTCGCCCAAATCTGGGCGAGGGTCGTGACCCTCCCCCAGACCGAGCGAGGGTCACTAGCCCTCGCCCAAACCTGGTCGAGGGTTGCCACTAGGTTAGCCGCCAGTGGCGGCCCTCGGCTAGGTCCGAGCGAGGGCCGGCGACCCTCGCTCGGTCTGGCGGAGGGCCATGACTCCTCGCTTGCCTTTGGCGAGGGCTTCCAGCCCTTCCCACCGAACTTCAGCTCCTCCTTCTTTTTCTTTTTAAATCTAAACATTTAACTTATTTTTAAAATTTAATTAAAAAAATATAAAAAGTCACGTCATCATCACGTTGGATTGAAAAAATAAAAAAAAAATCCAAGTCAGCATTTTTTGTTAATAAGTTAGACGGTGTTAACTTTAGGACTCAATCGAACTAATTTGATAAGTTTTAGAACTTGATTATACTTTATGTAAGTTTTGATACTCAAATGCACTTTGGTAATAAGTTTTATGACTTCTAGTGAACATATCTCCATAAAATACCATAAAAAGGATAACCCCGAACGCTAGAAAGATAAGTGTGCACTCGAACACGTGGAATTTGCCAAATTACCCTCATTAAACCAAAAATAAAGTTCGAGCACAATAGACAAAGATCAAGCCCTATCAAGCCATTTCCCTAAATTTTGGACCTCTCGTAGAAGTTATACCTTTTGGAAAATGAAAAAAACCACCAAAAGCCCCAAACTTTACCATCTGTGACACATTTACCCCGAACTTTTTTTTGTGACACCAAAAACCCCGAACTTTGCTTTTTGTGACACATTTACCCCAATGTATTTAGTCCATGGGCATTTTCGTCTTTTCTGCTTTTTCTTCTTTTTTTTTTCTTTTTTTTTTCCTTTCCGGCGAGGGGGGGCCTCGCCGGCGTCGGGCGAGGGCGGTCCTCGCCGGCGTCGGGAGGGTCGACCTCGCCGAGCGGGCGAGGGCCGCCCTCGCTCGCCCGGGCGAGGCGGCCCTCGCCCTATCCGGCGAGGTCGACCCTCGCCGGCGTTGGGCGAGGTCCGCCTCGCCGGGCGAGCGAGGGCGGCCCTCGCCGGCGTCGGGCGAGGTCCGCCTCGCTCGGGCGAGCGAGGGCCGCCCTCGCCCGGCTCGGGCGAGGTCGACCCTCGCCGACGCCGGCGAGGGTCGACCTCGCCGGCGGGCGAGGGCGACCCTCGCTCGCCCAGCGAGGCGACCTCGCCGACGCCGGCGAGGGTCGCGCGTGCGCGACGTCCCTCGCCCGTGCGAGGGCGGACCTCGCCGACGCCGGCGAGGGCCGCCCTTGCTCGACGCCGGCGAGGGCCCCCCTCGCCCGACGCCGGCGAGGCCCCCCCTCGCCGAAAAGGAAAAAAAGAAGAAGGAAAAGACGAAAATGCCCATGGACTAAATACATTGAGGTAAATATGTCACAAAAAGCAAAGTTCGAGGTTTTTGGTGTCACAAAAAAAAGTTCGGGATAAATGTGTCATAGATGGCAAAGTTTGAGATTTTTGGTGATTTTTTCCCTTTGGAAAATCAGCCGTGCTTTAAAACCGCAACAACGCGAATCTTTCTTTTCCCTTTAGCTATTACCAATGCTCAGGGTACACATGTCATATGAAATACTAAAGTCTACTTGACTGAGGCCCACTTGCAACTCCGTGTCATCATCGGCTTGTTGCATGAGATTCTAGAGTATTCTTCACGGTGAAACACTTCCAAGTTTCAACCTCACATCATGATGTGGTTATTCATGACTGCAGGAGTTGATATGCAACGTATGTAGCTGGTGATATGCTACGTGACTTGCAAAGCAGTGACGCACCTGCGTATTCAAATAAATAAGTGAGCTGTATTCAATCATTTAATATAAGTTTGTCTTTTCCGTTTTGTTATGACAAAATCCACTTTAGGCACATAAACCAATTTTATGAATATTCTTTAAAAGATTAATATCACTAAAAATCTCAAATTAATATATTCGTGTCACATTTACATAAAACTAATTTTCATATCACAAAAAATTAAAGAAAAAGGACACCATAAGTATTATAACTTTCTTACGGCGCTTACTTGAGTGTCATAACTTTTTTTCGATTACTTGAGTGCCATAATTTATAAACGACATTCACTTGAGAGTCACTGATATACCTGCACACATTTATCCCACACTAATCATTGTGCCTCAAAAAATTTCAAATTGATATACGTGTGCCACACTTACTCAAAACTTATTTTCATATTACTGAAAATCCCAAATCACCAAAATTAGGGATTTTTGGATTTTCCAATATAAGATTTTGGTGATTTGGTATTTTTTGTGATGTCAAAATTAGTTTTGCATAAGTGTAGCACGAGTATACCAGTTAGAAATTTTTGTAATACAAAAATTAGTTTGGGTTAGATGTGACATGAATATATCAATTTGAGATTGTTTTGTGGTATTACTTATTTTTTAAATAGCAAAAGCCACCAAAAACCCTAAACTGTACCCACTGCGACACGTTTTACCCTAAACTTTTTTTGTGACATCAAAAATCCCAAATTTGCATATGTGTGACACTGAGAACCGTTAAAAATCTGCCTATATAGATGCCCAAACAGTGTTAACATAACACCCATTTGGCTTAAGTAAAATAAAAATAATATTTTTTTGGTTGAAAAATCATCTAAGGAAACCTTTGAGTACAGGTTTAGGGATTTTTGTGTCACAAGAAAAAGTTTAGAGTAAATGTGTCACAGTAGACATAATTTAGGGTTTTTTATGTCAATTATGTGTCACAACGAGTAGTTTGGGATTTTTGTGACTTTTTCTCTTTTTTATAATTGTACCCAATAAAGTTAACACAGGTAGTGGAGGAATTCCAACCGTCTGTCGTCAGCAAAAGCACCGTCTTGAACATGAAGGGGGATCCACTGAACAGTACAATGCCTTCTGAAACAAGGGTGAAGAAAAGTGACTGCCTTTGTGCAATAAAGATGACCCACTGGGAAGGGTCTGGAGTCACACTCTCGAGTCCCAAGCAAAGCGGAGCAAACGGTGAACTCCGTTTCCTCTGTTTTTTCCCCTGCTTTTCTAAGTTGCCAACGCTAATCTTCTCTTGTTCTATTGCAGGTTGAGGTTTAGATTGATAAGGCATCATCAAATTGAATGGCGACATGGCCGGTGGGGCTCAGATTCAAACCGACCAAGGATGAACTCGTCGATCATCACCTTAGAGGGAAGCTCAAGGGAAAACTAGAAGCATTTTGCCTAATCCCAGAGCTATATATCTCCAAGCGGGAGCCTTCCGATTTGTTCATTTTATACAATGGTAACTTCGTAGTGTGGGGCTAGTCCTTTGAGTCTTCTTTTTTTTTCCACCTTCCCGTGCCTTTGTGCTATTTGCTTGTTGCCTAAGAGATTGTACTCATTTAGTTCATTTGAGGGTTCTTCGTTTGTAGAATTATCGGACGTACCATCAGATGGACGGGAGTGCTTCTTCTTCTGTCCCCATGAGGACAAGATACCGAACAGTCTTGGTTCTAATAACAGGATGACGGAGTTAGGATATTGGGAAGATACCTATAAGAAACGCATCATACGATCACCGGACACCGGCAAGAAAATAGGGATTAGGAAGATTTTGGTCTACTATGAAGGTCGACAACCAAGAGGCCACAAGACCGACGTTTTCATGCATCAATATCACCTAAATTCAAAAGTCTCTGACAGTCAAATCTCCGGCCCGGTAATCGATTTTTCCTCTTTTGATCCCTCTAATTGAGCATGTTAGCGTGCTTACCAGTGCAGGTAAGGTTGAATCTGGTTTAGAATTTTAGGAATATCTTAACTTGAGTTTGTGATTCGTTGTCCATCTTATGGATAGAATATTTCATGTATATATGGCTATAATGGTCTCTGTTTATAAAACTCTCCACATCCTTTCATCTTCGCAGATGGCCTTTGTTCTCTGTCACATAATCCACACGAAAGGTAAGAAAGCGAGGTCAGCAAAAGCGAGTACTTCAGCCAGTTTAAGCACCGTCAGTACTCCTCATGACTCTGGAACTGGACAAGCTCACGAAATTAGAGCACAGGTAACCAAAAATTACTCTATGTCAACATAAAGCAATATGTAATCCTGACATATCTAGCTAAAACTAAAGCTTCACTTTTTTCCCTCTTTTCTTCCTTCAGGCATCTGAGGATGTTATGATTGAAACTGAATATCAGAATGAGATGTTGGTTTCCAGTATGCTGGACAGTAACTTGCCTATTATTCCTCAGCAGGCCCAGATGCACGAAGAGCAAAGCTCGCTTTATAATGATTATCAGTTCATAGATGGGCGTAGTGACGAATGTTATGCTATGCCATTTTCTCCAAGCAACTGTATTGAGATCTCGGATCTCTGGAATGTCGTCTAGGGACGGATTAGTACGCCAAACTGAAAGATAGCTATATGATGGCCTTACTTGTACCTAGTTACCATGTTGTTGAGATAGGAGGGATGGGATGTGGGTGTACTGTAAAATCTGTAGTTGTGTGAGAAGAGATTGTGTGTGTGTTTGGTACGAACTGTATGGTGTTGCTTATAAACACCAGGTTGTGAAAGTTTAGATACTTCAGTATTTGTTTTGTGTAGGTTTCAGTGTGAGTAAAGGTAAACCATTGTGTAGCACAACTATGCATTCCAAGCGTCAGAAGTTAATATCTATGATATGACTGGTTTTATTACCTTGTGCTTACTGGCTAATGAGTAGATGATCCAAGACTAATCCAATTTTAGATGCACCTCCTCCATCTAAACTGTCTGCCAACCCAAAAGTACTTGCTCCAAGTACTCCATCCAATTTATAAAGATACTCAAATTTGAGGGGAAGGCGCAAGTATATCCAAGTTTCGATTCAAATTTTTATATAGAAACATGTATTAAAAACTCGTCCGAGTGGCCAGGGTGGACCTTTGCAGTAGTACTTAGCTACATCTCTTGCATCTGATGTAGGAGATGGATCATTACAAACTATAGCATTTATAGAACTGACGTCTTGTTCGGTGTCTATCCATATAAACCCAAGAATCCTACTAGACAATTAGGATACATACCATTTACAACGGCTAAACCCGATCCATTCGAACTAAGCCACCAAAAGGAGCAATCCGAACATAGAAATAGGATGTAACAAATAGAAAGCAAAAGGGTTTCGAGAAATGACTAGCTGTTCTTTATAAATAAAGGAAGAAGCTTTTGATCATAATCGATCATTTTACCAAAAAAATTAACCGAATGTAACCTTTCATCGGATGGAAAGTACCCATAGGTCCAACCGTTGAATATCCCAAAACCTCAACTAGATAAGACTTTACTTCAATAACCAAACAGAATCCTACGCCATTCCCGTTTTGTTCTCCTCTCGGCTGTCTGGTCCATTCATTAAACCCATAATGCTAAATAAGAGGGTGAGCAAAACCACAATCTAGCAAATGACAATCACTTCTACGAAATCAACAAATTATGCAACTTTCTTAACATGTATGCAACCCTATGCATCAAGACTGTAGTACCAATGCAAATTCTCAAATAGCAGTATATTCAACTTATATTTCATAAATCATGAATCATATAAAATGCATCATATTATAAATCATATCATTGCCACCAAATATCAAACTCAATATTTAATATCGATAAAAAATTTAACCCAAAAGCCTAAACTGATAGATGAAGTGCTCATTTTGCAGCTCGATGCAATGTCCACACGACATCTGATTCGTCCTCTATTGTGTACTTATGCGATCTCTCAATAGACCTCAGTCTTTTATTTGAAGTCTATAGTGTTTATATATTACATTTTATGTAAAAACTACGACAAAATATACTAAAATATGACGTTTTTTTGGACAGTGGATCGATTTCCTGGGGCACTATTGAATCCCTCAATTTTCTATGCCATCAAAAGAGAGCGACGTGAAACCAATAAAAGAGAAGGAAAGTGAAAACTATTTGATGCAGAAAAGGAAAGTGAAACCAATAAAAGAGAGCAACGTGGCCTCACTGACAAAGACGCAGGAGAAATATCAAAGAGGAAAGAAGAAAGAGGAGCCAACCATTATATGGGATCCAAGAAAGTAGCAAAATCGTAGGGTCCCATGGAGTTCAAAATTGGAAGACATTATTTGTGGTAAAATGTTAAAGGTACCGGTAAATTTTTAATCTTGTTAGTAAAAAAGTTATTCAACATTCGAGTTATCCGTCATAATTTTTTTTAACCAAGGTATTAAAAATTTACAAACGAAATCGGAGATCTACTAATGACGGAAAATTTTACGGCTTTTTCAATGACTCGACCGAAGAATCGCCTAACATGTTAAGCAAATGAATTGACTAGAAAAATGCATCGGTGGGATCCAGCAACGACTCGGGGTCTCAACTTCCTCAGGAAGTTCTCCGACTTGAGGAACAAGTCTTGAATTCTCCAGACAAATAAACCAATGAACAAGCAAGAAGAAAAGGGTGCACCGAACCCACCGAAAGGACCAGACAGTATTACTTCCCAAGCAAGCAAATGAAGAGGGGCACCAGACAAAATAAGCTTGACTTCCAGCTCAAGGCGAGTGCAGTATAAATTCATCTCTTCTCATGCAGGTTTGGATATCAAAACCTCGCAGGACCCCAGCCATGTTGAAAGCATTCAGGAGATGGAAGAGATTACAACAGCCTTGGAGCGTGTCTCGGTGAGATTTGGAGCGACGCCCACCACAGGACTCGTCAATCATTACTTGGAGTAGATATCCGCGTGCACAGGCAAGAGGCCATGCACGAATATCACCTAAACTTTGTGGGTGCCCCCAATACTCATAGTTCCTGACTGGAATGCACCGGCGGGGGTTTGCGCACATGTCCTAATTCCTTATTGGAAGTGTCCGCGCACACGGGCAAAGGAATATGCACGAATATCACCTAAATGTTGTATGTGCTTTGAATACTCCTGGTTCCTAATAGGAATACATAGGTAGGGTCTATGCACACGAACAATGGGGTCATGCACAAATATCACCTAAATGCCATCTTCCTCTAAGTATACTCCAGGTAATTATGTTTGTCTCTTCTTCATTTCCTTGTATCGTACAGTAGAGCACATCTTTGTGCACCAATGAATATCATTACTGTCAGCTTGGCAGGAGAGACAAAAAGAAATACTATTTGTTAATCATTCGTGCCTTACAAGTTTTCCCATTCGATTGATGATGGCAAACATGCACAGGCACATTATGTGCATGCTCTACTTGGTTTTGTAGACAAAGGTATAGGTATTATCTTCTGTTTTTTGGGGCAGCAGCAATGGGATAGATATTGAGTTTGTCAATATACTCCATTACTTATGCTGAGCATATATCAGTACACTATTTTGGTTTCGGAAACAACGTTGAGCATCTCCGTTATATGCAGAAATGTTGCTGCACTTTGCTGATTGTTATATTTACATACTCACCTTCCATTATTATCGTCTTTTTCAATTTGTACAAAAAAAATTTCCTGGTCTTTAGAGGGAATACAAGATGAGAGGGCTAATAGTCTAGACATACCCAGTTAGACTCGGATGCCTTAACCAAGGCAGGTTAAGATGCCTCAACGAACGAGATCTACGCGAACTAGGTATGTCTTGTTGAATCAAGGCGATCCAAGTAACTGGAGCCGCTTCTGAAGCCATATTCAACTTAATTTAGTTTCTACAAACTTATCGTTGAACACAATAAGCCTCGAGCACTAGAAGTTAAGAAGTTTGTTTCTTTCTTTCCTTCATTTTTATTTTGCACTTTAACCTGGATCTATCACAGAATTCTTCAATTGAAATTGCAATATTCATGCAACGCAGTACATAGGCATAGATATCAGGCGAGTAACTTGGAGTTCTCAATCAGAAGACGTCACTGAAGACCCTGGTGGGAAGAAAATACAGGAGAACAATATCAGAGACTGAAATCTTCAAGATTTAAGATCGTCCAGAGTTCTAGCGCTATAGCCTTTAAACATTAGTGTATAATTGTTCATGATTCTTATTTTTCTTCTATAATCGCGATGAAAGAATATGTCATGCAACTCTGTACTATACTCGAGAGAATAAGCAATATTGCTGTGATGCTACTTACAATATTTATTCCCAATACAATACAAAAACCCGTCTGAATTTATGTAATTACTTAGAGCATGCATAAGGCTATCGTCATCTTTCTCGAGTGATTAAACCTGTCTTCTTCTGCTGCTGCTGCTGCTGCTGCAATTCTCACTTGGGATCGCCGGATAAACAAGCGAGCAGATTGACAGTCTCTTCGTGACATCATAACCAATAAATAAAAGGCCAAATAGCAATAAAAGTTATTATGTCGTTCTCCACTTCTAAATTCTATCACCACCTTTCTGGATTAGCAAAATAAATCCTCACTTTTTAATAATATCAGTATAATATCCCAAAAGGCCAAAACTAGACATCCTGCAAAAAATTATCTATCAATTACCCTTTTGCCGTCTTAAGGGTTAAAATATGTATAGAATTGAAATTGAAACTATTTTTCAAAAGAACTTACTTTTTTTTTTATCTTTTTTCTCTTCACACAATAAATTTCCAATATATTTTTTATAAATGAAAAAAGGCTGATTAGAAGCCAGATAAATCACTTGAGTGAGGCACCCATTAAATTATGCTCCGGTTAAATATCCTCCTTTAAGTAATAAAACCAGATGAACTTAAATTGTTATCCTTCCTTTTGGCATAGTTTGGCAACAAGTAACAGAGAATATTGTTCTTAGAACAGTTTACTTGCCACTTTGGGAAGGAATCTGATAGAATATTTCCTCTCACAAATTGTGTTAAAAAGACTTGGGATAGATTTGATACAGTTTGAAAGATTGAATACTTTGCAAAAAAATTAAACCATAATTCTAACAAGAGGCTTGTAAGAGGTTCACAAAAATGTAAAAATAATTACGTGGACCTCATTAGAATGGGGCGCTAACTCTCTAAAAAATCCTTAACTTTAGATCCAATCCCAATTATATTCAGAACTTTTTTTGTTTGAAAAAAAATCCCTAACTTTCACTCGAGCCCCAAATATGCCCACAGGACCATACATTGCCACTGGTTTCTTCAAGATTATCAACATTCAAAGGCTCGTGAGGGTGTTGATGAAGAAGTGGATTCCGATAATGAACATCTAACTGGTCCTGACGTTGATAATTTTTAGGGTTAATACCACGAAAAACCCTAAATTGGTACACTTGTGACACATTTATCCAAAACTATTTTTTTGACCATAAAAAACCCCAAACTGGTACACCTGTGACAATTTTACCCTGAACATACCACAAAAAACCCCAAACTGATACACATGTGACAATTTTACCCCGAACTAATTTTTAATATTATTTTTTTAATTTTTTTGAATTTTTTCTTTTTTTTTCTCTTTTTTTTTCTTTCACCTTCAACCTCCGGCGGGCCGCCAGTCCGGCGACCGGCCAGAGGCGGAAGTCGGCGAGGGCCGCCCTCACCGGTATCGGGCGAGGGCAACCCTCGCTGGTATCGGGCGAGGGCTGCCCTCGTCGGCGTCGGGCGACCCTTGCCGGCGTCGGGCGGCTCCTCGCCGACGCAGCGAGGGTCGCCTCGCCGGATCCGGCGAGGGCGACCCGCTGCGTCGGCGAGGGTCGTCCTCGCCTACCCAGGGCAAGGGCGACCCCTCGCCTGACTCAGGCGAGGGCGGCCCTCGCCCGACGCAGGCGAGGGTCGCCCTCGTCGGATCTGGCGAGGGCGACCCTCGCTTGCGTCGAGCGCGACCCTCGCTTGCGTCAAGCGCGACCCTTGCCTGCGTCGGGCGAGGGTCGTCCTCACCTGCCCAGGGCAAGGGCGACCCCTCGCCAGATCCGGCCAGAGCAGCCCTCACCCGAGCCGACGCCGGCGAGGGCGGCCCTCGCCGACTCCGCCTCTGGCCGGTCGCCGGACCAGCGATCGGCCAGAGTTTGAAAATGAAAAAAAAAAGAAAAGAAAAGAATAAAAAATAAATAAAAATTCGAAAAAAATAAAAATAATAATAATATTAAAATTTTAATTCATGGTAAAATTGTCACATATGTACAGCTTGGGGTTTTTGTGGTAAGTTCAGAGTAAAATTGTCAGTGTACTAGTTTGGGATTTTGGTGGTCAAAAAATAGTTCAGGGTAAAATTGTCACATTGTAGCTTTGGGGTTTTTATGGTCAAAAAATAGTTTTGGGTAAATGTGTCACAAGTGTACCAGTTTAGGGTTTTTCGTGGTATTAATCCTAATTTTTATGACATTGGAGGTGATTATTGGATGTGTGAGCAGATTTGGGACTAAAGTAAAAATTTGCGATTTTTTTAGGAAAAAAAAAGTTAGGGGAAAAACGGGAATTAGACCTCGATATTAGTCAAGTGAATTACAATTTTTAGGAAATTGTTAGCTTCCCGTGTCCTGTGCTTTACATAGTCTACGAAGGCTAGGTTTTTGTTTCCTTTCAGTTCTTTTCTAGATTGGTATGCCTAGGCCGATATGGTACTGCTGAATCTAGCTTGGGCCAGAATATAATTTGCCCAAAATAGTAATGGTCTTTGGATCTCTAAACTACGTTTGATGCTTTGTTACCTTAAGATGAACACGTAATTACATATATATATACACACACACACACCCCCCACCTTGACATCATGCCCAAGAAAGTAGTGTTATTTAAATTAATTTTGTAAATTAATTTTGTTATACTTGCTATAATTCTGCTTTTGTTAAGCAGAGAAACTAGTAAAATACGACGTCATTGACAAGGATGGAAAAAATCAAAAGGAAATAAGTAAAGCAATGACCGGAAAAATAGAATAAAGGTCCAATAAAGGAGGCCCATAAATTGACTAGAAAAAGTATTGGTAAGACCACTGATGACTCTCGTGTTCTCAACTGCTACACGAAGTTATCAGATATGAGAAACAAGTCCAATCAATAGAAAAAACAAGAAGAAGAAGAAGACTGCAAAATGACATGGGATCCACGAAAAAGCCAGACAACATAACCTCCTAAGGAAGGTAAAGAAGAGCGCATCAGACAAAGCACGGGCTGGACCCCCAACTCAAAGCAAGTGCGGTATAAATTCAATCTCCTCTCACAGGTTCAGCACCAAAGTTATCTCCAGCCAAGCCCAAGAGTTTTCCTGCCTGCTCTGTTTCTTCTGCGGAGAACATGAGATGGAAGACATAGCTGCGCATCGTTTGCCAGCGGAATTTAGAGTCGAAGCTGGTCATCATGAGAGGACTCGTCAATCATCACTTGAAGCTGAAAGAAGGATTTGGGTGTTGGTATCCCTATCGCTACCGGTTCCAAACCGGAACATGCGGATAGGGGTCATGCACGAATATCACCTAAATACCTGTCCTTTTTAGTGTACTTTCGGAGGCTAGGTAGATATAATTATCTCGTTTACTTGATATATATGCTCTACTTGGCTTTGCAGACTAAGGTGCAGTTATGAAGTTCCTTCGTCGAATTATTTGTTTATGCTGAGCATATTTGATTATACTCTACGCACACCAGTTGCCATCTATTGATTGAGATATTGTTCTGTGCATCTTAGTTCTATGAAGATATGTTGCTGGCTTTTGCTACTTTTTTCATATTATCCAACTCATGTCGCATTCTTTCTTCAAATGTATGCAGATATATTGTTCTGGGCCTTTTGGAGGCAACCGAAATGAGAAGGCTGATAATCCAGACCTTCTTAGTAGGACTCTGCTGCCTCGTCCGAAGGTTGATTAAAGATGCCTTAAAGAAGAAGATCCATGTACTTCTAATGCGTTGTTAAATTACAACAATTCAAGTGACTGAAGACACTTTTGGAGATGTATTCCACATGAGTTTCTACATGCTTATTGTGGATTCACAATATGCTCTGTGTATTAAAAGTAAAATTTTCTTACTTAGAAGTTTTTGATTTTATTGTACTTTTTTTTTATTTCATTTCAATAGGGAACATCGATTGCTCATAGATTTTTCAACCCAAATGACAGTGCTTCTCCAATTAAGTATATATATAGTTTCGGGTATCCTCAGCAGATTAATGATTTGCCTACAGTACGTCTTATTTCGTACTATGAGCTTATGACAACACACAGGTATCTCAGAGTTCTCAACCAGACTCCAGATATCGGTAAATGAATACCCCGTTGCAAAGGAAGTACTTTAGGAAGTACTGGAGCCTCAGTCTTCTAATTTTAAGATCCCAGCATTCCAAGGCCATGATCTTTCAACAGTTATCATATGTTCTTTGATTGATGGTCTTTTGTATTTCTTTCTTTTAATTTCCCTCTGTAATCTCTACAACAGAATTTGCTAGGTCAACCCTCCAGTACAACCAGGAGAGAACAAACAAGAATCGTAATCCTAGTCATAGTATATCTGTTCATAACATAATAAGAGATCCACATTAGTTTCTGTTGTTGCCTATAATATGCTGGATGGTGTCATGGCGTGTTCATTACAGTGAGGAACATTTATATTTTGCTGAATTAATCACTTTGGAACACGCAATGTATCCGAATTCCATGTATGATAGCCTAATTTATGACTTCATTAGGAAGAATGGCTCGTACTAAATATAAATAAACTGCTAAAAGTGCAAGCAGACTATACTTCATGGAATTGGTAAATGAAAAACAGTAAATGAATTCCCCCCCTTAAGTGAAAAAGGAGATGATCACCAGAATCAGTGAGTACATAGGTTTTACCCAGAAGATGGAAGCAGCAATAACACATCTTTTAACCCCATGCCAAGGTTAAGGAACAGACTTATGTGTCGAGTAGTTTACATGACACAGTTTTGATTCTCCACAACCGCCAATTGCTTGCAATCTTATATTTGTATCACACATGAGGGCTTATGCACACATCTCGCCTGGTCAATGAAATCAGTGGGTTGTTTTGGAGTCCCGTCGTTTATGCATTTAAAGTGGAGTTGAAAGTCATCTTAGAAAAATCCTGCAGTTCAGCGCTTTTTGGTAATCTGATCTTTCATCTATCAGCATATTTCAACAGTGGAACTGTAATGACATGCACGAAAAAAGAAGAGAACATTCATTTTCGCTTGCTGTCAAAAGTAAATGAGTTCTGGGGGCAATCGGCTAATCTGGCCTCAAAAGACAACCATTAGTCGAAAAGTGCCAGCTATCAATCCAGTTATTAATCCCCAATGACCCGTTGCATCAAAATGCAAATCATAGTTTAGTCTTACCTAAATTCAAAGGAGATGAAGCCAATTATCATGCAGCTCAGTTACAAACCCATGGAACATCTTTTTTTAGCTAACCAAAGCAGTAACAAAAATCCCATTGTACGTAATTTGTTTGTACATTGGTACATGAAGCGACTGGGTAGGGTGCACCTTTGTCATTTAAATAAAATGCACACGCGCGTGGACAGCCCTTATGTTAACTGACTATTAGCAGGTTGATTTTAACTCAAATTCGCACTATGTCATTAATAAATGGAAATGAAAAGTCTCATATTGTAATAAGAGGTAACAACCAGGACACATCACAGGAGCAAATCCCAGAAATTTCCTGGATATTGTCTCTGTCATATGAAAAAAACAGTGTATCTTTCAGAATGAGCAAAATCTTAAAATAGTTTAATTTCTGTGAAGGGACCCACCAGGACAAGGAAAAGCAGACAAAAAACCATCCCTATCAGCTATCAATCACGATCAAGATTTTTCTAAAAGACACATACAAAAAGTTCGGTAACTTCTCAAAGAAGGGAAGACTTCAATAAAGACCCTCCCAGATGGTAGCGTGTTGATGCTCACTTCTGCTTCCACAAACTGAAGTCAGTTCATTATTAACTAGTGTGTTGAGTGAAGAACAGAACGGAAGGAGATGGGAGCTGTGATTATCCCACGGAATTTGCCGGTCGGATACAGATTCCATCCAACCGATGAGGAATTCGTCGAACATTACTTGACGAACCGAGTCCTCGGAATCGTAGAGCGTCCCTGCATAATTCCAGATGTTGACATCTGCAGGTGGGATCCTTGGGAACTACCACAGAAGTTTCATGGTAAGAACAGATACCACTATCACTTTGCTTACTCCTTTGATACAATTTCTCTCCAGCCATGATTCTCAGAATCTTATGGGTTTTTGGAGCATAATATATATCATCAATCAGTGAAAAGTCGAGGGAATGACAGGTGAATCAATCATTCCCCCGGATGACAAAGTTCAAGAGTGGTGGTTCTTCTGTTTGCAAACATCCCAACAGGCTAAGAGATCTACTCCCTCGGGCTATTGGAAGAAGACTGGTCCTGATCGGAATGTCAAGGCCAGAGATACGAACAGAGTAATTGGTACTAAGAAAACATTAGTGTTCCACAAAGGTCGGGGCTCTAGGGCAATCAATACCAAGTGGGTCATACATGAATTTCATCTACTCGCCAATGATGTACTTAATCTATCCCTCACTTATTTGTTGCAATCTATTATATTCACAAGATGCATGAAATCGATAACATATTATGCAGAAACACTTGATTAAAAGTTTCCGCAAGTCCTAACGAAGCAAAGAAACATTATTTTGCTCAGTTTCTACTACAGAAGATTGAAATCTTGTACATATAAAGAGAACAATATTATTTTTGAAATTTGTGCGCAGAATATTTTAATGTTGAAGAAAATATGATCGGATGGTATGAACTAGTATAACGTGGTATTTTGACAGTTGAATAGGAATTATGTTCTGTGTTGGTTAAAGCATACACAAGATGAGAAGGCTGATAATTCAACCCCGGAATTAGCACATGGAGCCATTAACCTGGAGGATTTGGATTGGGATCTTCATCAACCTGATCATGAGGACTCATTGCCTGAGCTGCGAAGGAAAATAGTTCTGTTTATACATTCAATATCTGTCTTGACGAGCGGGCAAGATGTGTTGATGACTAATCTTTTACTTGCAAATACAGCCTTTGATCCAAGCAATGATCAATTCACTGATAGAGCCCCCATTTCAGCCCAAGAACCAAGTTCAAGTTGCTTCATCTGACCTCCTGCAGCTGCTTCAGCCTGCCCTGCGATCACAAAGTAGCCTTCCCTCCAATATACATCAGTTTATGAATACTGAGAGTTCATCTTTTATGGACTTCTCATTGGAGAATGGCACTACTGACGAATCTATCCAATTGGAATCATTGTTTGGAACAAGTGAAGAGGATGAAGATTTCAGTAACATGCTAAACGAAGATCTTTTTGAAGAGGTTGAAGATGTTGAGATGCTAAGTGGAGATTTATTTTGTGGCGACTTCTTCGACGGAGACCAAATGCAAGCACAGGTCAAATTCTTCCCTTGAAATTTCATTTGGTTGCTGTGATTACCTCTCTAGTAAAAATTTAGGTTTAAAATGCATTGGATTGGAAGGGCACCTTACCTTTTCCACGTTATCTGAAACTAAGGATAATTTTCTTTCAATCATCTTTGGGTAGAATAAAAAGTTCATTAAAGAATCTGTCTGCTGAAAAAGAAAAGTGGACTCTCACGCTAAGTTACCCATGCTTAATTACTTTCAATTGTAGAAGAACGATGGACACTTTAAAACCTACCCTTGAAGGTTTGTTATGAAATTAAGTTTATGCCTCAGTTTTTTCCTCTGATTCACTCTATCTCATACAATCTGTCGCTGCAGTATGCCCAAACATCTAACTCGCATGATGAACGTCCTGTTCTAATGGAGAATCGGCGAACACGAACAATCGACTCACTCCATGGTTTTGTTCCTCTTGAGGAAAAGAAAGGCATGGTGGAGAATAAGTTCAACGGCTCACTTGTTGCCCCCGAGAAACCTATGGCACCTCCTGTACGCGCTGCAAGTGTCAAATATTATGGCAAAGATGAAGAGCCGAGGTTTAGAAAGGTTAAGCAGGAAACTGTAGCCAAAAGTATCAAACCAGAATGCATATATTTGGATGAAACAGCAGCCAGAGCAAAGGTGAAAGCAGCTCCTAAACTAACCCATTGTCTTATTACTACTCTTATACGTTGACGTGCATTGCTTGGATAGTTAATTAGATGATATGGATTCCGTTTTTTATTGCAGTGAACTATATTGGATATGTGGTTCATAGGTACTTAAGAGAACAGTCAATTTTGTTAAAATCCGCTTTGAGAAATACATGAAATGGATTCTAGCATTCTTCTATCAAAAGGAAGTAAAATTCCAGTTTAAATTGCTCGTGGTTTATCAACTTTGGTTCAACTTAATTAGAATGTTGGAGAACTATGAAGCAGAAAATATATATAGAAAAAAATTGCAGCCGAGATATTGAACAAGGTTATAGTAGATGACTAAAGGCAGATTATGTAATTAGAGCTTCCAGACAATTTGAGAACAAAAACATGAATGTTTTGTCATGAGATCAAGATAATGCCTCAGTTATTTCTGTTGACCCGTTGGATCTTTTGCAATGCTTTGTTGCAGAATGGCCAAATATCTATAATGGAGAATCGCAAAACACCAACAATTGAGTCACTCCATGGTGTTGTTCCTTTTGAGCAAAAGAAAGGCTTCATACAGAGTAAATTCAACAGCTCACATGTTTCCTCCACCAAATCTATGGAGCTTCTGAAAGAGCCCAAGACTCCAAAAATGCCCGAGTCTCCAAGAATCTATATCAATGAAGAACAGAGGCTCGAAAAGGTTAAGAAGCAGGGAATTGCATTGAAAAATGTTAAAACAGAATGTGTATCTTTGGATGAATCTGCAGCAAAAGAGAAGGTGAGAGAAGTTCCCAGTTAAACAGATTTTGTCTTTCTGTTATCTTCCAAAGTTGATGTGCATCATTGGACCATTTAGTTTGATTGGCATGGTTCCATTTTATTTGGAAAATCAGTAGAAAACTAGGAAAATTCTTCAACTTTTAGATCCATGTTAATCCTTACTTTCCTTTTCCTCAGCTCACTATTTGAAACACTATATGTTTGCAGGTACTAAAATACAGAGAGCACGGTGGAACCAGTAATTCACCGAGGAAGACAAACAACAAGGAGATTGAACATGCCAGAGAGAAATCAAATTCAGTGACTGCATTGACCGGACCATCCACCAAGAGCACAAACGGTTCCACAAATCGTCCCCTGCGTAATCTTGTGAACCTGCTCGGCGGGATTCTCCTGCTGATCGCCATCACTTACATTCACTTACCAAGTATTTAATTTATAATTTTCACTGCTATTTTGCCCTGAGTGTGATGCAGCATCATTGACAAGTACGATTGTAAAAAAGGGTTTTGTATGTTGTGAATTCAGGTGTATGTAGCTTGTCTTCCTTTTGATGCTGATGCTTTGGTACTTCTTTTTGCGTCAGCGGAATTGGAAGATCTCACTAGATGTGCAACTGCTCTGTAATTTTACTTTCTTCGTTCTCTGCTGTATATAATGCGAAGAAACAAGAAGTTGCCACGGTTGTCTCCTTTGAAAGTTTACTTTTAGTCCATCATTGCATGTATATCTTTCAGTTCATCAAACCATGGATCGATCACATGAGATTGGTTGTTTTTGTAGGCACGGTCCATGGACACAACATGCAAACTAATCAGTCTAAATAGGTCAAAGCCTACTTTATAAGACGTTAAATCTGAGTCTTCCTAGAATCACACACGTGTACTCATAACACAAAAAACAACAAACGAGGACCGAGAATACATTTCAACCGACACTGAATGTTAAGAGTTAGAGACTTTCGGTACACCAGTGACCTGTATCAAGCTGCCCAACAAAATACAAACATAATTTATGATGTGAGAAGGGCCATAAACATATGGATCACCTTAAGACAAGGTGCACCACGGCACGGTCTCATAAATGTTACAATAACCTGCATTCTTTGCAAATTAGAAATGTTCTAGTATAGATGACAGTTCACGTGAGGATTTCCAACATAATGGCCTCTCTCACTCTCTCTCTCTCTCTCTCTCTCTCTCTCTCCCTCTCACACACACACATACCCACCATGTAAGACGATTTGTCACACCAGCACAGCATTGTAGTGTTGTTACTAATGGCAATTGATGATAAATCTCGACAGAACAGATTGAGTGACTCGATTGCACAAGAAAGAAGATGAAAAGACAATGTTGAAGGAACAGTGCAATTTAGAGACCATATTCAGGCTCGACCGTTTAAAAGATTAATTTACCCCGACACCGCTCTAGTTTTGACCAAATTGTCACTGTATTTTCACAAACTACTTTTCCAGGAGTATTGGAAAGTATTTAACTAGGGATACTTCATTCTATAAAGTCCCATGAGACGATATAAGGGAAATAATTGGTGATTTGAGGGAGATATAGTTCTGTTTGTTTGAGCTTTAAAAAAATTACTTATGGTGGTATTGCGTTACCTCCAAATTAGAGCGTTGTTAAGAGTAGGATTTTGGAAATACAGGGGTGTTACAGTGACTTGGTCAAAACAGTGCAGTGTTGGAGTAATAAGTAGGGAAAAAGATTGAAAAAGAATCCCGTAAAAATGCCAACTTTTACTCCTTTCTTTTGGCAGGATGACCCCACAAGAGGAATCTGTCCACCACATATGGGGAGGGATAGAGAAAAGGAGAGGAGTGGAGAAAGACATTCACAAGACTAAAAGATGATAGCGACGGCTATAAAACTTCCTCAAGAAGGTGAACGAAGTCTTGGAAAATGCTGCAAAGAGGACAAGAGGGAAGGAATAAACAAGGACAGATGTGGGATCCATCTAGCACTGTGGATTAACTTCTCCAGCAAGGGGGAGACTTCACCAGACAAAGTTGCTTGGCATAAGTCAAGTGTCTATTATAAACAAGGACAGACGTGGGACTCCATCAAGCACTATGGATTAACTTCTCAAGCGAGGGGAGACTTCACCAGACAAAGTTGCTCGCCATGAATCGTATACTATAAATTTGGCACTTCCATGCTCAAGTTTAACAAACTGCTCTAACCAAAGCCACTCTCTCTCTCTCTCAGCTTAGCTAAGAATCACCAAGAGCGTATACCGTCTGAATAATATTGTTTGGTGTCCTAGTTATTGTTTACTACCTTCTTGGAATTTATATTTATTGTGGGAGTCCTCTAATTATGCCATTTTACTCCTCTTTTGACTGTTAATCAAAGTGATTGATGATGTTTTAGAGATAACTTTAACAGATTAAAGCAATGCGACTTCTTTTCAATTTTTCTGCATCTATTATGGCTGATAATTGTTAGATAAGCAAAATGTAGTCTCCACCTTTAAGCACACCTTTTTGATGGTTTAGGACAGAGTTAACCAACTGGGAAGAATTAGAAGTGAAGTTTTCGTCCTGGTACAAAGCTTCATTTTCATCAACGTACCATGCACTTATTTCATTTTAGTCCATCTCTAACTTTTCACTACTAGATTTGTGTCTCATCTCTACTGTTTCGCTGCCTTATTAAGTTCCAAAATAGAAGCATGTGTGATGTATTAAGTACAGTGACTAAGCAAAACAGTCAGTGAATGACTAAAACGAAAAAAGATGTGTAGAACAGGGATGACAACATGTCTGCACTTCTTGTGTCTCTTTGTTTTTTGTTTAGTTTTCCTTTGGTGTTTCCATAGATGATTAGGAGTAGGGCAAGAACAAAAACTAGTTTTTGCTGCAGAAAACACAAGATGGAGAAAAAAAGGTAGTTGTTAACGCATTTCCATGCACGGATATAACCTAAATGCTTCGGTCATGCCAGAAAGCTTGAATGTCATGCACGAATATCACCATTCTTTTTGCCGCTAGAAAATCACTCTATCCTGAAGAATCAGTCCTCTGATTTTTCTCAAAGAGCTAATAAGTAACCCATTCAAAGGCCTCTTCTCTCATTTTATTAGAATGGAAGTGTTCTGTCACGGAAAGAACTCAGTAGTTTGGTATACACATAGAAGTTCAGACTTGTGGAATCAGTTTTCATTAGAATTTACCCGGATGGATACATATATGTTCCTGTTAGTATGATAAGGATCGTGCTAATAAGATGTGATTTGAAATGAGTCGCTGTTTAGCTTTACCAATCAAACTATGGTTGTATATTTTTTAGTTTCATCGATGTTATACGTTGTTCTTGGACTTAACGTAACAACTACTTATGTCTGTTTGTCTCTCTTTGTGAGCAGAGTATTGCTTTGGTTAGTCTCTCGGAGGAATCCGTAGATAAGAAGGCCGAAGATGACCGCATTATACGATAGTACTAAAAAGACACAGCCTGCTTCACCATAGGTGACACAAGTGAGCTTCATCACAAGACATGATGCCTTGACAAAGAAATTATCGAATGTGTTGTCAGGAAACATATCAAACCCTTAACAAGTCCCTCCATTGAATTCCATTGTGGCTTAGTGAAACTTTCACTTCATCTGCTCATTGAAGCTACAGAAATTAAACAGAATTAGCTTATAATCAACATGGTGTTCTTTCGAACCAATAAAAGAATTACTTCACGAGTCACGTCAAATAATGTGTGAGTCCATCATCCGTTTCATCATTGAATAAAAACTGTTTCTTACATCATAAGGGGTCTGACAGATGGAACATTACCCAGACCTACTGACCGATTTTGTTACTTTGGCATGCAGATTGTTATAACATTAGAAGAGTTATTTAGATCATTGTACCCCACTACTTGGCTAATATTATTTAAAGATTCTTAGGATGGTACAAGGACAAATAATCGATCTGATTAATGATCTGATCTTCATCTATTAGCCAAGTACCTCACTACTTGGCTAATGTTATTTAAAGATGACTCCTTAGGTCAGGTTCTTAGAAGTGATGTATGCAACCACTACTCTCACAATGTTTTCGTCTAGCATGACAAACAGCGTTTGTAGTTTCCAAAGTGTGGCATTCAGGCTCAGCGGAAGATGCATAAAATCAAGCTGTGCTTCATTGTTTGACTGCAAATTAGTCAATTGTGAAGTTACTTATCCCCGCACACGCACTCATGAGCAATACTCCGAATCAATACTCCACACCTTTGTTCTGGTTCATTAGTCTGTAGATAAACAGACAAGGGAAGAGAAAGTCTGGGTACAAGCAAAAGTCACAAATTCTTATTGTTATGGTTGCAGATTGAACTGAAATATTATAGATCATTCTCTGATACAAAAGATACCAAATCAGGTGATTTTGTTCTCGGTTTTTCATATTCATGCTGCAAGTATACATTTGCAATGTCATAACATCTAGAATTTTTTTTTTGGTTGAAATAACATCTAGAATTGAATGTATCACTTTCTTCAAACATAAATGAGTAACTTTTTAAATATTTTTTGGGGTATGTATTGTGTATGGATCTAATGAGGAATTGTAGTTCATCTCACGAGGCGTGTATTGGTAGGATACCATACCATAGACAAGAAAGGACTCCTGCCTTTTGTAAATAGTGTTTCATCAAAACTAAATGAGGTATTCTTAGACATTTGATTCTGCTATTATAAGTTCTTTCTTTTAGGTGAACTATCTTGATATTAAATTGGATAATCAAATTGAGATATTTTTTATGGGAAATTTAATGGGAATCAGTTTCTATCTACTGAACGGTAGTATGGTTCACAGTATATGCACTCCCTGTTCTGCTTTTTCTTTTCCAGATGAGGATGATTGAGTTCATTAATCAGCTCAAAGCAGGTTAGCCCCTCCATCCAGACCCAGGCCAGAATACATTAATTACTGAATTACAGTGTCATCTTCTATCATTATCACTAACCAATCTTCACATTGCTTTGTAGTCTTAGGATGCTTTCGCTGTATTGGATTCCTTAGCTATATTCTAACCTATTTATGTGGGAAAATCCCAATAAAAAGAAAACAAACTTTAGTGAATAGCAAAGAACGCTATGATGCCACGCCATGCGTCCACGTTAATTGCCTGCATTTCGATACTCTCTTTGCTTTGTTTGGTGCTCTCTTCTGTGACATGGGAAAGTGGTGCTTTTGATGCGGTGGCTCTGTTATTAATTCAAATAAACGAATTTGATGATGCTTTATTCTTGGCGATATTAAATTCAATCTCCATTCTGAATCTTCTTCACTCAGCCAAAGGCCAGATGTCTTTCTTTCTTTCTTTCTTTACTTCTGCTGAAAAAGAAATGAGAGAGTTCTTGAATGACATATGTCGGGACCCTTCTGATCTGAACCTCGAGGGAGTTCGGGGGTTTGCCAAGCGGGCGTAAACAATCCCTCTTGTATGGTAGCGCTTTTACTTAGCACGGGCTCTCCCAATTGCAACTTGATTTCTCAATAAATATTTGATTTGGTTTTGCTTTAGGAAATGTCAATAATCTATTATGGGTCGATTATGGGCCAAGTAAGACGCGATAGTTCGTCTTACTTCCATGAACTAGAGATTCATAGGTACGTGGATTTGGTTACGCTAGTTTTAGTAACTCTCATTATTGGTACTTTTTTCCTTCTATGAAAAGAATTTAGGAAAAATGACACAAATGATCCTTAAACTTTAGCTCAATATGTAATGTCATCTTTGAATTTTTAATTTATTTAATATATCCCTTGAATTAATCATAAATATTCAATCTAGTCACTGAACTTCAATTTGTTCAATCTAAATTCTCAACTTTCTTTAAAAAAAAAAGTCAAAAGTTTTCAAAATTACATCGTTGCCTGGATTTCATAATGTCTTTTTATTGCAATTAATTTCATAGATTAACAAAAAAATATGGCTATCTTATTACTTTGTTAACTTTTTGGTCTTTATAACTATTACAATAGCTCCATTTAAGTCTATTTCAACTTATGATCTATATATTAGTAAAAGTAGAACCTTATTTAGAGTTGTATCGGGTCGATGCTCCTACTATTTTAATTTTCTAATTTACACATTTAACTAAATTCAAATAAGAAACACAAAAACTTGAAAATTTTCTCCATCTAAAGGATTAGGAAAAATATTTAGTTAATATAAGTGCATCTATTCATAAATTAATATCGTTATTAAATACTCTTAAAAACTCTTATTTTTAGAATAAGAGGACTATGAATCCGATATAAAAATAAAGACAAAAAAGGTAAAAAGATAATAAAAAGATAGCATATTTTTTGTTGATTTTGGAAATTGATTGAAATAAAAAAAAATTCTAAAATCTGGGTAAGAGTATAATTATGAAAACTTGTGAATAGTACCATAAGACTTATTTAACTTTGTTACGAAAAGTTGAGGGGCGAAAATGATTAAGTTAAAATTTTAAGGAATAGATTGAAAATTTAGAAATAGTTAAAGGATCACATTAAACGAATGAAAAATCATAGGATGACATTACATATTGGGCCAAAATTTAAGAATTATCTGTGTCATTTTCCCAAAGGATTATTCATGCAATCTTCTCAATTTTATTGTTGCCTATTTTATCATCTAGGATATGCAAAATAGGTGACCATGTGTGAATCTTCCAAACAAGCACATATACATAATCAAATAATATCAAAACGGATAAAATACAAGGAAAGAACCCAAGCCAATGCAAAATTAACAGTGCCTTGTAATTAAGGCCCGGGACAGGACAGGATCCCATGAACTATACATACAATTAAACATGCACCAATCTAATGAATCCGAATTATGATAATGAAATACTAAAATAAGTTAAATAAAGCTTAGTTTAAGTCAAACTAATCTAATGCAATTTCTACTTAAATGCAATTCAGATGCATTTTTCATCTTTTTTTTATCTATTTTTATCCTTTCCATCTATTTTACAATAAAACCAATCAAAACCTAAGAATAAACTAATTGCTGAACAATCTTGTAATACAACTCCAAAATGAGTCAATGAAAAATATTTTTATTATTGACAACAACTCATGCCAAAACATTTTTGTTGCTAGTGAGAATATTTTCTATTGCCTCTTTTCCTAATAGATATAAATGATTAGAGTTAGGAAAATATTTTCCAAATTGTTGATTTTTCATGAAACAAATGGCCCATTAGACTTTTAACTTTAAATTTCCTGCAAGAACAGAGTTCGTACACATCGTAGGACAACGGAACCAATTGCAATGTAATGTTGGAAAACCAGATAAAAGCCAACTTGTAGATTAATGGACCAGCGGCTGAATCATCATCTTGCCTATTTTTATCTTTCAGCCCAATTAATCCATCTTTTACAACATATTTTGCAAAATGATCGTGGAACTACCGCCAACTATTCTAAAAACTTAAACTTTTAAATGAATATGTGGTTTAATATTTAAATATTCTAACACTTCCTTTCACTTGTAGGCTGGACTTTGATATAAGCCTAAGCATGGCAACATGTGTGATTTAGACCATCGATCTGCATCTTCTAAAAACCAAAGCCTTGCCCATTGAACTAATCGATCTGCACCTTCCTTCGTCCCATCTTCGTCGCTCCCACTATTTCACCAAACCAGGCTCGGATACCGGTAGTTAGGGACGTGAATCTTTGAAGAGAAATATCGCGACCTCCCCAAAGTGCAGGCCTTAAACCATCCTTTTGAACCAAATTCGAGCATGATAAGGCTAACCCTGATGAAATTTATGTGATGTGGACATGCTTTTATAAGGTATAAATGCAAAAAGAATTAACCTTTTTTTGTTTTTGTTTTAGGGGTCAAATTTTGATCCCGAGTTTTTCTATGCGGTGAATGACCAATTGCGAGACGAGGCGACGCTATAGATCCGGAGAGAGCTGGAAATTCGAAGCTCATGGCTGTCCTGAGCAACACGCTGACCCAAAAGTCTAAAATCACCAAACTCAATGCCATTCTAGACAACGAACCGACCCACACATCATGTATATCCAAAATGCCCTCTTCTGGTCGGAGCAGGCGAGCGCCGGAGGACCAGGAAGTGCTAAGTTGGAGAGAGAAAACATAGTCTAGTGCATTTAATCGTGTGCAGGCTATTGAAGTGGAAAAAGATTTTAAAACGAAAAAGGAAGATGATATTTTTTGTGCATAAAAGCCCGTGGGGCTACGCTCGCTGACGTGGAGCTTCCTGATCGGACAGGACCACGGTGATGGAGAGAAGATATTTAGCAATTTGTGCGCGCCACGTCAACGGCTTACGTGTGACGTGCATATTTTACCCTCGTCCACTAACAAACGAACGAACACAAGATTCTGCTGATGTGTATTAAAAAAAGTGACGCGGAATTTTCCTTTTTGTCTTCCTTTCTTCAGCACTCCTTCTTCAGCATCCTCTCCGCTGGGCTTTGGCTGTCTCCACCGCCAAGCCGCCTCCGCCACCGCCATCCTTGAGCCACCACCGTCCGCGGCAGAGTTGTTGAGCTTGTCGCCGGCAACCATGGACGAGCCAAGACTCGAGCTGAAAGCTGATAAGCAGCGGACCAGATCTGGCTGTTGAGCGACGGTCAATCACCGAGTCGAGGCCAACGTCCGTGTCCACCCTCTCCGTTGTCCCGGCGGCTAAGTCTTTGGCCGCGAGCGCTCGTCCACAGATATGGAGATGCAGGATAGTAGTCGGCCATGGACGGTGGCTCGAGTCATTTGACCCTACCGACGGGATGAAGTTGTGGGGATGAAGTTCTGTGAACTGCGGGGGGTTTTCTCGATTTGTGTTTCAAGATGCCTACTGCTCCGGATTTGGATTTCGTTGGTGAATGAACAGAGGAAGACGAAGCGTTCGTCCATGGCCGACCTCCGCGCGATTTACGGACGAGCCACCGTCCATGGCCACCCCTCCTGCGCGTCTTCAGATCTGTGACGAGAAATCGTGCCGCCGTCGCCAGTGGATGATCGGCCATCCATACCGGCCGCCGCCGCCGTCCATGGAAACCCAGATGAAGAAGGAAGGAAAAAAAAGAAATTCCACGTCATTGTTTTAATACACGTCAGCAGCCATGTGTCCATTTATTTAGTGGATGAGAGTAAAATACGCAGGCTACGTCACTCGTTGACGTGGCGCATGCGAACCACCGAATATTTCCACACCCTCGTAGTTGGGAGGCGTCTGGTTTTCTGGTTGTAATGGTCGTCCCTTCTGGCCGAAGGGGCGGCGTCCGATAAAACCACCACGCCTCCTCCCGCATCGAAAGTGTGCACATGCTCACTACCCCTGAGTTCTCCCTCTCAGCGAGCTCGAACTTCTTCACTTGTGTCGGGGAAGAAAACGAGATATGGCAGCTGGGATCCGTTCGATGGGGTTTTTGGTCAAGCAGATCGTGCTGTTACTTCAGCAGCTAATGGATGGCTACAGGTTCAGTCCAACCGAGGAGGAACTGATCGATTACTTGAAGTTGGAAGAACCCGGATGCAGAGAAGGTTTCTGCATCATCCCGACAATAGCAAACATCTACGAGATTAATCCGTCGGATTTACAGGCCAAGTTCAGCAGTAAGTCGTTCGCAACTTCAAAACGAGTGACTTAGAACAGTAGCCCTTTACTCATGTTTTCAAAACAGTTTCTTAATGTGCATGCAGAGGAATCGATCATTCCATCCAATGATCGAGAATGGTGGTTCATATGTCCACAGATGCAGAACCAACGGATTAGCAGGAAAACACCATGTGGTTCTTCTTGGAAGATCACCGGTGCTCGTAAAGATGTCGTAATTGACGGCAAAAAGATAGGTTCCAAGACAACATTAGTCTTCCCTGATGGTCGGGGCTCTAAGGGTGGCAAGAGCGACTGGGTCATTCATGAATACCGTCTACCCACCGAGGATGTACTCATTCTAACCTTCATTTACTGGTTGCAACTAATTAGATTCACAAGATGCACGAATTTGATGACATATCATATGAGAAGTATAGCTACAATTATCTGCAGAAACACTTGATTAAAGTTTCCAATAGTCCTGAAGAAGCAGAGGAACATTTTTGTGCTCAATTTCTACTACAGAAGAGATTGAAATATAATAAATATATAGAGAATGATGTTATTTTTGCCAAATTTGAGAGCAAATTTTTACTATTGAGGAAAATATCAGATCTTTGGTGTGAACTGATATAACATGGTCTTTTGACAGTTGAATAGAAATTATGTTCTGTGTCACTTAATGGATAAACAATTTGGAAAGGCTGATAACTCAACTACAACATCAGAGCATGGAGTTATTGACCTGGCGGAATTGGAATCGGTTCTTAATCAACCTGATGATGATGTCTCATTTCCTGAGGTGCGGAGGAATAAATGTTCTGTTTATACGCTTATTATCTGTCTTAACGAGCACGCGGAATGTGCTAGTGACTAATCTTTTACTTGTAAAAACAGAAATTGGTCCAAGCAAGGATGAACGCACTGATGGAGCCCCGGCAGCACCAGAACCAAATTCAATTTTCCTTGCCTGACGTCCTGCATCTGTTTAAGTGGGGGCTGCGATCACAAAGTAATAGATTTCCCTCCAACATACATCAGTTTACGAATTTTGGGAGTCCGTCTTTTGAGGACTTCTCATTGGACAACAGTCTTACTGATAGATCTATTGAATTGGGATCTTCACTCAGAACAACTAAAGACGATGAACGGTTTGATCCAATGCCAAATGCAGGTCTTTTTTCTGAGGTTCAGAAAGGTGAAGAGCCAAGGTTGGAAAAGGATCAGCAGGAAACTGCAGCCAGAAATATCGAACCAAGCATATCTTTGGATGAAACAGCAGCCAGAGAAAAGGTGAAAGCAGCTCCTAAACTAACCAATTGTGTCTCGTTACTATTCTTTTATGTGGACGTGCATTGCTTGGGAAGTTAACTAGATGTTGGGTTTCCATATTTGAATGCAGCAAACTATATATAGGATATGTGGTTCACAGGCACTTTAGAAAACAGTTAATTTTGTTGTAATCCGCTTTGAGAAAAACATCAAGCGGATTCTAGCAGTCCTCTACCAAAAGGAAGTATAATTTCACTCTAAATTGCTCATGCTTTTCTAGTTTTGATTCAACTGGGTCATCCATGAATATCGTCTATTCACCGAAGATGTACTCAATCTAACCCTCATTTATTCGTTGCAATTAATTAGATTCACAAGATGCATGAATTTGATGACATATCTATGAGAAGTATAGCTTCAATTATCTGCAGAAACACTCGATTAAAGTTTCCAATAGTCCTAAAGAGGCAGAGAAACATTTTTGTCCTCAGTATCTACTACAGAAGATTGAAATCTTATACATATATAGAGAAAGATATTATTGTTGCCAAATTTGAGAGCAGTTTTTTACTGTTGAAAAAAATATAAGATCTATGGTGTGAACTGATATAACATGGTCTTTTGACCGAATGGAAATTATGTTCTGTGTCGCTTAAAGCATAAACAAGATGAAAAGGCTGCTAATTCAACCAACGAATCAGAGGATGGAGCCATTGACCTGGCGGAATTGGAATCGCTTATTAATCAACCTGATGATGAGGGCTCATTTCCTGAATTGCGGAGGGATAAATGTTCTGTTTGTACACTTAATATCTGTCTTAACGAGCTCGCAGAATGTGTTAGTGACTAATCTTTTTACTTGTAAATACAGCATTTGATCCAGGCAAAGATGAAGTCACCGGTGGAGCCCTCTCAGCACCAGAACCAATTTCAATTTTCTTTGCCTGACCTACCGCAGCTGCGATCACAAAATAATAGCGTCCCCTCCACCATACATCAGTTTGCCAATATTGGGAGTCCGTCTGTTGACGACTTCTCATCGGACAACGCATTGGAATCTTTTCTGAAAGGTGCAGAGGCAAGGTTAGAAAAGGTTCAGCAGGAAACTGCAGCCAGAAATATCGAACCATGCATGTCTTTGGATGAAACAGCAGCCAGAGCAAAGGTGAAAGCAGCTCCTAAACTAAGCCGTTGTGTCTTATTGCTATTCTTTTATGTTGACGTGCATTGCTTGCGAAGTCAATTAGATGTTGGGTCTCCATTTTTTACTGCAGCAAACTATATATAGGATATGTGGTTCACAGGCACTTTAGAAAACGGTTAATTTTGTTAAAATCGGCTTTGAGAAAAACATCAAGTGGATTTTGTCAGTCCTCTAACAAAAGGAAGTGAAATTTCACTCTAAATTGCTCATGCTTTATTAATTTCGATTCAAATAATAAGAAGAAAGGTGAAGAACGACGAAACAGAAAATATAAAAAAAAAAAAAATTGCTGCTGAGATATTGTACAAGGTTGAAGCAGATTACTAAAAGGCTGACTGTGTAATTAGAGCTTCCAGACAATTTGAGAACAAAAACATGAATGTTTGTCACGAGATCCAGATAGTGCCTCAGTTATTTCCAGTGATCCATTTGATCTTATGCAATGCTTTGTTGCAGAATGGCCAAATATCTATAACGGAGAATCGCCAAAGTAAAATCGAACCATTCGATGGTGTTTTTCCTCTGGAGGAAACAGGAGGCGTCGCACAGAGTACATTCAACAGCTCACATTTTTCGGTGATTGGCCCATTTTGTCTTGCTATTTTCTTCTTGTCTTCATGTACATTGTTGGACCATTTAGTTTGATTGGCGTGGTTCCATATTTTTCGGAGTCTCAATGAATAGAACTAGGGAAATTCTTCATTTTTCTCTCCCCTGTTGAACCTTGCTTTCTTTTTCCCTATCAGCTCCACTATTCGAAACACTTTGTGGTGGCAGGGACAAGGGTGCGAAGAGCACAATTTAGCCGGTAATTCACCCAAGATGAGGAGATTGAACATGCCAGAGAAAAATCAAATTCAGTGACAGCATTGACCTGATCAACCACCAAGAGCGCAAAAGTTCCACAAATCCTGCACAGCTTATTCTTGTGAACTTGCTCGTTGGGATTTTCCTGTTGATCGCCATTGTTAGAGATATAGATGTATTTAGGAGATTTCGTGCTATTGATTCTGATAGATGACAACTGATATCTTATTACTTTATATAGCACCTGTACAGCCTATAAATAAACTCATGTATTCTTCTTCAACATATATTGAAATGTACAGAAAATTCAACAATTCTCTCTTCCGCTTTATTATTCTAAACTTAGTATCAAGTCATTATTATATGAGGAAGCGGCTATTAAGTCTTTATAAGGTCGTGGTTGTAGCAACATTACAACAACCGCGCCGTTGTCCGTTTTCCACCGAACCCGCCGATCTTGAGTACTGTTCCGACTCTTTTCATCGCTTGTTTCAATAAATTAACATCACAACCAGACTCATTGCCCCCAATGTTAAATTATGTCTAGGATTTGAGCTCGTGAACAACTCCGATCGGGTGTTCTTATGGCGATGGAATTTGGTGCGCGGAAATAGGAAATAAATTCCTGTCAGCCTCGGTTGAAATTCCTACAAGAAATCACGTAAGGAATTTTTCTTATTTAAGTTTGATCGACTTACTTCGACCGAAAAAAAAAAAAAAGTTCGATCGACCTATATTGTTGGGCCCACATTCTTTATATAGTATATATTAGTTTGTGGAGTCTAGCATGTGTGTCAGAAAAGAAGTGAATTATATTTGGAAAGTTGATGCTCCTGGTCTTCTCTGGGGCACGAGGGCTTTGACCGTGAAAAAGGATATATATATATATATAAACACACACATTTAGGTGCGTTTATTTCGCAAAAAATATACCATTTCTAAAAAATACTTCTCAAGAAGTCTTTTTTTTTTAAATGAGCTTATTTTTCGGTGTTTGACTAAAACCTAAAAGAGATTTGGAAAATATTTTTAGTTGTTTGGTAAAGAAAATCTGATAGTGAAAATTATCGAAAAAATTTGTATTCTTTAAATTATTTTAAATTATGTTTATTAAGAAAAGAAAATACATGAATGTTTTCCTTCTTGGAAAGAAAAGGAAGAAAAAAAAGAAAAAAAGAAAGAAAATAAAATAAAAAATATTAATAAATTCAAGATGAGCAATTCCGGAAAGTGTTTTCACATTTTTAGATTAGAGAATTCACTTTCCTAATTTTATACATGAATATTTTCCTTAATCGGAAAGTGACTAAGCATTTTCAACAAACAAAATGGGTAAAAGTTCAGAAAACGGATTCCTAGAAAATACTTTCTCTCGAACAAACACACTCTTAAATACACTTTAGGGATATGTGCACTCGAAATCTTAAAACTTGTCATCAAAATGCAATTGAGTCCTAAAACTTCAGAAAGTGCAATCCGAAAATTTGTCAAATTGGTGCAATCAAGTCCTTCCTTTAACTCCGTCTAACTTGGTTAACGGAAAATGCTGACATGACTTTTTTTAATTATTTTCTCTCTCCTACATGGCGATGATTAAGGTTGAGCGATTCCAGGTTCTACCCGAAACCTAGAACCTACCCGTTGGAAAAAGTTCCTCATTTTTTGGAACCTGTAACCTACTCTACATACCCTATAACCTAGAACCTAACTTATCACAGGTTTTAGGGTCGATTTCAGGGTCCACTTAGTTTCCACTGAATTAAACGATTGTAGTGAATTATCACCTTTAATGACTACCGCTTACTGTTATAATTCACCGACCACAACTTATATTAAGACACATGAAGAATATGAAACATTAACAACATAAAAGTTTCACCTTACCAAAAATAAAAAAACAACATAAAAGTTTCAATCATAAAATGGAAGTTTAGACTAGTGATTTTAGATTATACACTCATCATTGGATACCATAGAATACCACAAGATCGCGCGAAGACATAGACCAAGAAAAATACAAAAACTTATTCGAGATTCTATGTTCTACCTACCTAGAACTTATCCGTCAAAACAAATTCTCCAATTTTTAGAACCTAAAGCTACCCTTTCATACCCTAGAATTTGTAACCGAATAGATTCCCATCGGTCCGGTTATCAAGTTCTAGGTTCTACCCGAGAACCATACTCACTCCTAGCGATGACGTGATTAAAACATGAAACATAAGGCTAAAATGACGTTATTTTGGTCAAAATATGATTTTTTATGCAACTTTATTTAATTAAATAAAAAATAAGCTAAATTTAAAATTTTTTAAAAAAAAAAGGAGAGTTAGAAACATAGGCGAGGGCTGTAACCCTCATTGGGAAGGGCCCGTGATGGTGGGGGAATGGTCGACGGGGGCCAACCCTTGGCCAGAAGTGAGAGAGGGTCGCCAACCCACGCCGACCATTCCCCCACCATCGTGGGCCCTTCCCGGCGAGCACGTGCCATCCGCGAGCACGTTCTAGTCATGTCATATTACCACGTCAGTAGCTGACTATTGACCAGTTTAGTTAGATCAGTCCAACCTGTTTTGAGACACTTTTCTGGTCAGGTGAGGCACTTTTCGACCGGTTCTGGGCGATCACAGCTCGGTTCCCAAAATATTTCGACATGTTGAGTCCATTTTTGGCCTTATTTTATCCATATCGGCTCTCCACGTACTGGTTTCTTTGCATTTGTTGTTCAATCTACTGTGTTGAAACTAGTAAAGTGTATATTATGGATAAATTAGAAGTTTTGATATCCAATTGTCATCGACTACAACCAAAGCAACTTATAGGGAAGGCCAATCAACCCCATAATTGTGGTCCACATGCAAGTTCATTTGCTGCTGCTGCTACTACTACCAATAAGGCTTCTCCCAATGGATTGTCTTTCACTCTCTCATTAGAGGATCCTCGTTACATTCTTCGAGAGTTTGGTACTTTTAACTCCTATATTCTTTCTAATATGTCTGACGCTTTAGGTACTTTTGATTCGTGGTTTTTTACTCCACCTACTGCAATCATATGACTTCAAATTTGATTTGTTTCAGTCAAAATCATTCAATTCACATGCCCTTACTATTCACATAGCTGATAATTTCCAAATGTGAGTCAGACATACATGAGACATTTTAATATCCACATTATCCTTGTCTAACACATTTATGGTTCCCAAAATGTCTATAAATTTGATTTTAGTAGGATAATCGTGTGAATTTAGCTTTGATGTCTAACTTGACAAAAGGGAAATTTTAACAAATTTTAAGACTTAATTGCATTTTTTAAAAATTTTTGAACTCAATTGAACTTGTGTGATAAATTTTAGGACTTGATTGTATTTTTTTTAAAGTTTTAAGATTCAATTATATTTTTGTGATAAGTTTTATGATTTGATTGCATTATTTGAAAGTTTTAGCATTCTATTATACTTTCTTAATAAATTTTAGGATTTTCAGTATATTTATCCTAAAATTAATATCCGAGTTGTGAAGTTTCATAAGATCAAGCATGAGACTACCCTTTTGGAAAAGCAAAAGGACAATAACGATGACGCTAGACCCCACCACTTAAGAAGAATATCAATATAGGACATATAATTTGTCATCACAGCACATTGCTAACTCCACGGTAGCTACGTTATTTCCTCGAAGTAGAGTTCAAGTCCAGAATACTCCGGAAATTCTATTTGTTTCTTAGTAATGAATGCACTGCCAATATTGAATTTGCCAGACCCAATATCTCTACAGATACAGCGAAAAAGACACGGGTCCTCTTCCCCGAAAGAAGCGGCCTCAAACACATAGCCAACATTGATATGTTATCAAAATATATATTTATCTATATTTATGATCAAACAGCAAGCTGGTTGCATGATTATAGTTCTAAATCCACTAAAAAGAATGTGTAGCTCTCCAAACTAACAAACTACATCTAACAAATATCATTTCAGACATATACACGACTACCTCAAATCATACCCAAAATCCAACTCTCAATAAAAATTCCCTGTTGATATCACTCTTGTCTTATATGTCGGTAGTTGTGTAACTTGAAAAAAGAATTGAGATGAATAATATGAGCAAAGCATCGCTCAGTGAATAGTACAACTCTTTTCTACACAAATCAAGCATCCAGTGTGCAATTTTATAAAACAATACGATAAGTATATTTATCTAAATCCAACATATAATATAGGTACAAGATCAAACATGACATATCACTTCAGAAAAGCTTTATACGTATAAAAATACACATTCAATCAACAATATCAAAGTAAATTAATAGTTCAGTCCATTGATCACTCGAGTGGCCAATATTAAATTATGTCAACAGTCAACACCCCATGAAAAGACCTACCAAGATTTCCTCTTGGCCTAGGTCTTGACCTATATTAGCTTGTGGCTCGTCCCAAACAGAACGTCTTGAGAACATATGCACACTAACAACCTTTCAATAACCTTCATATCATAGTGACAAGAGCATAAACCATCAACACAATCGTCTAACCAATTACAAAACCATTTCATAAAACAGTTTTACAAATCAAAATACAAATAAGTACATCAAAAGTCCTAAAACTTATCACAAAAGTGCAATCGAGTCCTAAAACTTTCAAAAGATACAATCAAGTCCTAAAACTTATCTAATTAGTGCAATTAAGTTCTTCTATTAGTTGTATTCAATTTGAGTGACGAAAAATACTGACATGGCATTTAATATTATAATTCGAAGACACGTGGCACTGATGTGGTACCAAGTGAGTACCAATCAAAATAAAGACCTAAAATTGAAGAAAAAGGCCAAAAAACCCAAATGTAAAAAAAAGTAACATATAATTAGAAGAGAAAGAAGATTGGGGAATTTGAAGTTGGCGTTGCTGCACCGCTTTGCCAACGAGGGTGATAAATGAACCAGATGAACAGGCAGTGATAAATGAAGAAGATGAACATGTTGAGATTCGGATACTTGAGAGGCCAAAAAGGACCGGCTCAAGCTCCCAAACTTACGAAGTCGTGACCAATAACTAACAAAATTATTATTTCAAACTTTTCTGGCCAAAAAAAAAGAAGGTGAAATTCTAATTTTGTAATCCATCTCCCTCCTAGAACCACCGTAAGTGGAGGAGCCACCTCGCCGCTGTCATCGCTCGACCTTTGCAACGACGCTAGAGCTCGACGATTGCCTCGTCATCAACAGGCACCTCTTGGTCGATGTTGGGCTAG